TCTTATTCCAGCTCCCGCCGCCTGTGAAGTGCGGTCAGTGATAACGCTAGGCCGCACCCGGCTCGACGGACAGCAAGTCTCCTGCAGGAGTTTAGCTGGGAGGTGTTTAATCATTCACCCTACAGCCCGGATCTCGCTCCCAGTGATTTCCATCTTTTCCTACCCCTCAAGAAATTCCTGTCCGGTCAGCGTCAGCGTTTTGAGAATGACAGAGAGGCGGAGATGGTTGTCACACAGTGGTTCCAATCCCAGGCGGCAGACTTCTACGACCCAGGTATTCAAAAGTTGGTCCCACGGTATGACCAATGTCTCAATTCCGGTGGCGAATATGTTGAAAAATAGCTGGACACTTGCTGTATCTGTTGCAATAAATATTTCCATGAAATTGTGTTTTGTTTCTGTAAACGGCCCCAGGGAAACTTACTTTAAGGACGAGTCTCGTAATAAGCAGATAAATTAGTTTGTCGCAATGCAATAACTTTTATCTATCGATCAGGTAGCCAAAGTATGAAGATCGGCATCTGCAAACACTAAAAAGTCACAGCTAGCTTATGTAATTCTGCGTTCCTCTCTGTCGGCATTAAAGCTTAAGTCTTATAATTATAATTATCAATAAATAATAACAATACAATTTATATATAAAATGAGGATCCTTTTAAATGAAATAAGGACTATATTTCACCCTCCTGATTTAGAGAAGTAACAATATTTCCTGATAACAGGAAAATCAATAAAACTACCGGAAAGAGGATTTTTGAGACTGGCGCTGGTATCAACTTGCCAACTTGAACTGCAGTCAAAGTGGTTTGTTCTTACTTATTTTATCGTGCTTCCATCGCTAGCGAACTGATACGCCGAGCGTCCTCGAGCCACAGTCGTGAGAAGCTGCGGATACCACGTACCTTTTCCCGATACTGCCGCCTTGAAGAATCCAAACTTTGGATTAAGTTGGTGGCATGTCCCAAGAAAAGTGCATAGCAGGTGGCACCACTGATCATGGACAACATGGTGAGCCACATGTCCGTGAGTGACTGCGGTGGAAATCGGCCATATCCGATGCACAGCATGTGTGACATGGCTTTGAATAATGCCCACGAGTATTGCTCTAACCAGAATGCTTCCTGCAACCGATCAAAATCATCGCTGAAGAAAATGTGGAAATTGGAAGAGATTTTTTGTTAAAAGCAGAGATTGTGACAGATGGAAACTGCAAGTTTTAGGACTCAGAATTGAGACAATATTTTATAGAAGAAAGGATGAAGAAATCGGACTGAAAAATCAAACTGTTTCCCTCTACTGACAGCAATCAAGGAAGAAATAAGGAGGGAAGAGAGAAAGGAAGGAAGAAAGGAAAGGAAGAGATGTGTGGAAGAGAATTTTGATATTATGTTTATCTATTTATTACATATTAGCTTTCTACTCAATCCCTCTTGATGTTTCATGCATGATTATTTCTGTAATTACTTCCAGATGTGTCTCACTCATATTCTAGGGAATTTGTATACAGGGATAAAGTTATTCTAAACTTGGTTTATGGGCCTACCTGACAGTCACATAAGCACAATGTTTTATTGAAGTCTGTAGCTGTTACCATTGCTACGTATTACCAGAAGTTCAAATTCAGACATTCATACTGACTTTCGACGAATTTAATTTGTCACTGAGCAAAAATGCACAGAGCGAACATACTCAGGCAGGTTCCGTCCGTCTCTCCATCCACATGATCTCATCAAAACTATTGCACACTGAAATATGTCAAGTGAAATTGATTTGCATCGTTCAATATGATAAATATTTAATAAAATATAAGAAAAAATAATTTCTGGCAGTCACGTCGAAATTTTGCTTAGTTCGTCTACTTACTGAAAGCCGCTCCCTCACTTTTGCTACCACCAGATAATGGTCAGTGTCACAATCTGCTCCTCTGAATGACCTCACATCAATTATATTCATGTAGTTAGTTAGTTCATACAGTTATATGTAATGCGATTATCTCTGCAACAACCAATTTGTGTCTGCAATAAATTATGGAGTTTATAACACAATTTTAAGGAAGCAGTCACACTGTTTGAACACACCTGGAGCTCATTGATGGCAACCCAGGAATTGGCTGGGAATCCTTGGAGCATGGGCACCAAAAACTGCAGGCAACCGGACCAATGGCCGATCAACAGCATCATGCAGATGAGGTTAAATATCCGCATAAATACACTCGCCATATTGAGGAACTGCAATGAAAGACGCACGGCTTAACATAGAGCTATTGACACTGAAATTTGTTTTTCAAAATAACATTTAATATACGAAATTCCAACCGTGCCCTGTTAAGATTCTCTATGAAGCCAGCATCACGCCGTTGCTCTGTACTGTAAATGTAAATGTCACAGTTTGTTACTTTACGTAAATACACGATACACAGGTTGGCCAACACTACATTTATCATTTAATTTCTTACGTACAGGGGGCAGACCAAACTTGCATCTGATGAAAATGTGATAACAGAACCCTGATGACCTCTGAAACGTTGGTTAACATCGACCAGACTACACAGCGCAACAACCCAGAAGACGGAAATCTTTTATAATGAAGTTTACTCTAATAATATGCATTATTATATTTCATGAGTAATATTTATTCAAAGCATGATGAAGTCGTAACAGGTTGTACTGCGTGATTATTTGATTTTTTTGAAGTTACTTTCTTGTTTGAATCCATACAATTGTCATACTTTAAGAACAGTTTCATTTGATTAACAGAAAACGAAACTGCCTTCTTCCACATTACTTACGACATGATGATCTTTGAAACAGAAAAATGATGTTTTCTCTTGGAGACCAATGCCTAAAGTTCTGATATATTAATATTGATTAATACTGATAATACTAATGATCGATTTTGTCGTATGAAGGGTTAACTTACAAAAAGTCAAATGAATAGGAAGTAAGTTCTTGTCTTTTAACATTGTAATCAGTATTTCCTATTAAGCAAATTAATTTTAACAGAGTTTCACTGCATGCAAACAAACCACACACAGCGACCAAAGATGCTAGAAATAAGTAAATAAACCAAAGTTATTAGAAAATCTGATAAAAATGTGTGAGAAGCACAGAATTTCTACAGTGAGAATAAAAGATGGGAAATGGAACAGTACGGAATAGTAGGGATTAGTTGTAAGATTTTCATAGTTTGGTCGTCATCTCTTGACTTATTCAAATGTTCGGTTGCTGTTCCTAAAAAATGTATTTTCTGCAATGAGACGCATTTAGGCACAAAACTCTTTATAACAAAATCGATTATTGACAAACTACGAGTTACAACCTATGAATTACATGAATAAATACTGACAGTTAACAAAGAATGACACACCGACCGGTTCTCTGCCCCAGATTATCAAGATATAAAAAAATACCCCAATTTAGTCCTACACAAGTGCACACGAATTAACACACGCAACCACCTGACACAGACTGACTAAAACAAGACAACATAAGACCAGGGCTCACTCTGACGGGAAAATAATGAAGCTTGGGAAGAGGTTGTCAGAAAGGAAAATAGGTTAGGTACAGAGTAACAAGGAAGGTAACGTCACAACCTCCCCCCGACCAAGGGGACACCACGGAGAATTGTCCCACACGTAGAGGGCCAGAAAGTCCAGTATTGCAACGGAGGTAAAAAGGTTTCCAAAAACAGTTATCCCACAGTTCAGTCCATCAGCAGAGATGAAAAGAACACAAGTAAATTTGGCTGCCTTTGTTGGCAGCTTTAAAACCCGTGCCAATTAGAATGTATCCAATACACTAGTCCAATGTAGACGCAGCAACTCCACAATACACTCGACCGCCCCGTGAGTGTTAACTCCCAGGACTCCCTCTTAATTTTCTGACCTCAGTTCCATGAACAGAACACAGTGAATTCCCAGTAGTTTCATAAATGTCTCCTATCTCTCTGATACGGGGCAAATGTCATTTCGTATTTTAAAAATACAAGTATTCCAATTCTTTTGAACATTGGAGGTCCGACACCATCCTTAGAGAAGAAAACCACATTATATGCCATACTGGGCAGTTTTATCCAGTCCACATAATTCGCTTGTATCCACTTTAATATCCTGTATTAGGTTTTCAAACCAACCAATTCAAAAGTATTCAGAGTTTAAATTAACTAATGAAGTAACCACCTGAGAAATTGAGACCAATCATATCCAATCTGCACATTCACTCTTAAGTGTCCACAGAGGACGACAGTCTTCCAGGATGTTGTGCCATGTACCCCGGTAAAAGTTTAAGAATGTTTCAGAGGTCCTTGCTGCCTCCATCAACATGGTACACTGATGATGGAGGCAGCAAGCACCTCTGAAACACCAATAAACCCCTACCAGATTACACAGGGCAACAACCCAGAAGATAGTCATCTTCATGTCCATATAGGAGTTAATTACCATGAAATAATATTTACAAAACGCCTCAAATCATTTATCCTACCAAAAATTCAAAACACACAACTATTTTCTTTTGTTAAATTAAATTAAATATGTTACACTTTCTTTTCATATATATGAGGCAAATAAAGAAGTTCATTGGGGTTTTATGAAACATGGAACCGTGATTACAACAAATGTTATCCTTTGGTTTTATTTCACGTGGCAGTTTTCGATGTAACCTAATATCGAAGAAAGCTGTATTCTTTCTGAAACATATGTTAACTGTTTTCTGGAAACAGGAAACAGTGGCTACTGAGAGAATTTCTGTCATCATGGTTCATACCAAATTTCAAATGCCTATCTCCAAAGGTTAATTAGTTACCGCCGTTAAACCGAAAACTAAAAAGATATTAAACAAAAGTTTCATTTTATAAGATCCGTGGAGCTTCTGTCACTCCCACCTAACAAATTCGTGCGTCCGGCCTTTTGTTAGTACCGACTGCACAAACTTAAAAAGAACAAGGCTGGTGTCGTCACCAATGACGTAAGTTCCATATAAAACTACATCAGAATCCCCCCCCACCTGTTCCGGACGTGAAACAAATGGACAGATAAACAAGCAGACACTATCAGTCCTACTGTCCACAGATCACGAGAAAAGCCCTGCTGGGGGAATGTTACTGATCAGCTGGACTAGAGGGCTGCTATTGGTGGGAAGTGTGATACGTCAGAGTTTTACGCTACTACACAGACTGAAAACATCAAGCAGTTACGAGTAGCGTGTAGTGAGCGCACCTCTAATGTGTTCTGATAATATTCTAGATTAAATCGCTGTGCCTCTGTGAGGTAATCTTAAAGCTGTACCCATCAGAACACATGAAAGCCTGTCGTCTGTTGTTCGTTCAGTGGTTGTGGAACGAATGCTTTTAGGATCGGTCGTCACTAACCGCAAAATCTTGCGCATGCGCGTATATCGAATTCCTAGCAGGGCTTTTCTCCTGGTCTGTGGACTGTGGGTGTTGCGATAATATTCTAGATTAAATCGCTGTGCCTCTGTGAGGTAATCTTAAAGCTGTACCCATCAGAACACATGAAAGCCTGTCGTCTGTTGTTCGTTCAGTGGTTGTGGAACGAATGCTTTTAGGATCGGTCGTCACTAACCGCGAAATCTCGCGCATGCGCGTATATCGAATTCCTAGCAGGGATTTTCTCCTGGTCTGTGGACTGTAGTCACTTCCTCTCTGGGTTTCCGACCAGAATTTTGTACGCATTTCTTATCTCCCCACGTTCTACATGCACCGCCCACCTCATTCTTCTTGATTTGGACATCCTAATTACACTCTACAAAAAGTACAAATTATGAAGCTACTCTATGTAATTTTCTCTCCGGTGTATTATCACTTTTTATTTTCGTAAATACCTGTTTTAAAACAACGTTAAACGGCGTTCGTCCCCATGTAAGATAACACATTTCATACCTATACAAAATACGGGGTAAAAATAATTCTTAGGGATTTTTAAATAGACGGACAGAGTAAAGATTTCTAGAGATGGAAATGCTATTAATTTCTACGTAAATGAAATTTTAATTTGTTACCGTTGTTCCAAAATATTTTAACTTTACCACAAAGTATATGGGCTTACTGTTATTTTTTCCTGTAGTCTGGTGAGAAGACGCGAAAATGTTCTTACTTTTCCCTGTGTTTTAGGCCAACATTTCCACTATAAAGCCTAGTAAGATTACTTTCAATTATGGTAGGCCTTTTTTGTGTTTTCGACAAATAAATAGGCATCATCATCACAGACTAGAAACTGACGTGTCCCACCTAATTTCAATCTCACCTGGTTTCCTTGGACTTTATTAAATGCATAAAAAGCAATGGGGGTAAAGCATCGCCTTCCTTTAACTATTCAAAATAAAAAAAAATAATCAGACAAATACGTATTCACGTAGACGGACTTTATAACAAGTTTCACCTAACCGTTTAAAACCGAAACTCGTCTACATAATTTTTAAGAATTCAAACCGTACCGCAAAGAAAACACTAATATTTGCCATTACAAAGATCAAATGTGAAATGCTGTTTAAGGAAATAATTCATACGAAACCTATGAAAAAATATAGTTACTGACTGTTAAAGCAGATGGCATAGCACTCAGCTTTAAAGTGTTTAACACATTTTAATCAGCGTGAACTAGTTTCATGTGAATGCCGAATTCAGACACGACGTATTCTGAATATACAGCGTGTTTCAAAAGTAGCTTTACAACTTGAGGGCGAGATATTGGTGAACTGATAGGAGAAACATATAATTTCAGAACGTAGAAATGTAGTCAAACACTTCAAGTTTTACGTCCATCGGATTTTTATGGTTCAACGTGACTTCCATTTGTTATGCGACAGACGTCCCATCTGTAGTCAATATCTTGCAACACGCGGTGTAGCGTCTCCGGTGTCATTTCTGCAACTGCGTCGGTAATTCGAGTTTCGGAGTTCGGCCACATTTGCAGGTGAGGGTGGCACGTACACTCGATCTTTGCTGAGGGCCCAAAACATTAACTTTCGGACTATCACGAACATGTTCCAGGAAGGCACGTGGATTTTCACCACCCCAAATCCTGCAGTTGTGGGTGTTGACCTTACCAGTGACATGGAACGTGCTTTCGTCACTAAAAATTACAGAGTCCAGAAATCCTTTGTCGTCTTCAACCCACCGCAACATTTCCGTACAAAATTCCTTACGAGACAGTTTATCACCATCTGAAATAAGTGTAAACGTCTTCGTAACACTAACCACAAAGTCACATGTGGAATCCCACTTTCCCGAGATGCACGTCTCGTTGACTTCGAGCGAAGCTCTCCCTAATCTGTTCCACGGCGTCTTCAGAAACACGTGGCCACTTTCTTGGTATGGCACATGAAACTTGATGTGTTTGGCTAAATTTGTGCATTTAAAAATATTGCTCACGTCCTTTAAATAAATTTATATTCTCCTGCGAAGTTGTAAAGCTACTTTTGAAACACGGTGTATATGATCAGTTTTGTATATGTCGAAAACTCCACTGATAATTCCCGATAATGAATGTACGTATGAAATAACTAGGATTTTATGATGTAATGTTTTCTTCAGCGATGAGTCTTTGGCCACATGTCCAACCCACAAGTTGAAGGACACCCCCATTTTGATTATACGCGACTGTGTAAACATTTGACAAACTTTTTTTGAACTGTAAACATAATCCACATACAGAGTTAAAGAGAGATGGTTTTGTAAAATATGGAGGTTAAAAATATCCACGTAATTCGCAACGCCATTGCAAAAAAACGGGAAATATTTTTTCGAGTTATTTAATACCCTTCACAAAAATCTCATTACCCGCAACTCAAAATGCAAAATTTATCAACAGGGTCAACACGAGCGCATACATGCAAAACACTTGAAATAACACAGCTAAGAAAAATGCACATCGATAAGCATTAACATCGAGTGAACACAAATGATGTGAAAGGTTTAAAAATGTTTATTTAACGGAAACAGAATGGCATATTGAGATGAAACTACCTGGACGAAGAACTCAAAACAAACTTTGGAATGTGGGAGACGTGACGTAATTCCAAAGATGATCCCCAGGAGCACAATTGTTGACGTATCAGTGAATCGTCGACTCAATCCAAGAAAGCTTTTCGTATGCTCAAATTCCATTCCACAATCTAAGCGAGAAACTGTCCAACATGGATTCGGAGGAAATCCCTTAAAAATCTAAGTCGCCATCTTACTTCTATGTTAACAATTGCGCATCTTTGGTATTACGTCACTTCTCGTACAAGCTACAGAATTATTTTGAGTTCTCCTTCCACTGGTGTAAAATTCATTCCCGTATGCCATTTAGTTTAAGTAAAAGAAAGATTTGAAAACCATTCGGATTGTATATCTTCAGCTTATATTATTCGTATTATCCTCATTTGTTGCTGTTTAGAAACAACCGACGGATTTACAAGTTGCAACAATAAAGAAACACAACAAATCCTTAAATGAATGTGTAACATTTACTGTGTTCGTAACTCAAAACATGCCAGTCCGAAGACCCAGAGACATCTGGCGTCGTGGATAAACAACACTATTGCATGCGATCCAACGTCCATAATACCGAGCAGTTACAGTAAACACCAAGTTTCAGCTGTGCGTTATCACTGAAAACATTATTTTCTTGTCGTAACCAAATTTCTGTTAAACGTACGACACCTGGTGTCGCACATTTAACTATAATTTTGCTGAGACAGGGAAATATGTAGCGAAAGCTTTGCAGATCTTCGTAGTACGGCGTGCTCCTATCGAACTGGAGACCGTGGTCTTTAGTCCAAGCGGGCCCTTCCATAAGAGCTCCAACCAACACTTATGAGTGAATTAGCACTGAAATAAGAAACAATATGCCTTCTAAATCTGGACGGGGACATGTGATGGGGGTTTAACCATTGTACATCCACACGTCACCGTTCAGATGCACAAATTATCCGCGCAACACATTTTTTATGGGAGTTTTCTGCAAAAAGATTTCCGTTTCGCAGAACACTTCGAGGTGTGGTAACACTGGCTGTACGGTGTCCGCGCATGCGTGATGGGATGCTTACAGATCTGTCGACGCCTGCTCCACGCCGGACGAAGCCCATGTACGAATGGATTATTTAGTAAGTTTATTTATAGAATATTAATCCTGAACGGAAGTACATTATACGCGACGAATGAGATGTGGAGGAGGGAGGAGAAAGGTGATTTACACGTCACATCAGCGCAAATAATTGTCCTATACGTAAAAAAAAAAGCAGCTTTGTATTATGGCGACAAGCGCAAAGCGAATCAGCGGCCATCTATGTCTACTGTTGCGAACTAGGTGAGACAGCGAGCGAGGAGCTCACATGCTAGCGTAAGAATATGGCGGGCGGCTTTTACAGAGCGAGGCCATGCAACGAAGCGACAAGGGGTTACCTTAAAAATGAGATTGCTTTTGCTGAACTTTGACTTCTTTTTGTTCCGCCCATCAGAGCTGAGGCGGCCCCTCCGTTCTGTGCGCTTTTTTTGGAGGTTCTGCAAGATCTAGAAAAAAAGAAGAAGCGAGAAACACAAGATAGAGAGCACAAGCCATCACCAAAAACACACACTGGAACGTTTTGATGTCAAGGAGAAAAGAGAAATGAAGTAAGTGATTTGTTTTTGCTCCGAAGAGAAAATAGAGAAAAATAAATGAACAGATACTGAAAGTTTGTGCATAGATAAGACTTATAAAGTAGAAAGAGAGAAATTTTTTTTTTCATCAGTCCTTAAATACAGGTTTAAATGCAACATTCCACTACGTTTCATTAACCTGTTAATTTTATTTCAAATACATTCTAATTTTTTTTAAAAAAAAAAATACTTTTTCAACAGTTGGTGTTTCTAATGACTGTCCGCTGCATACACATATGCTGTTAAACATAACCTCACACTGTGGCCCAAATTACAGGAACTGATTATAGCACGAACAATGAAGCAACCCCATGCCAGTACATGAATAACAGTAGCCAATCCAAGCCCCGAACAGCTGAGGCTGTGCAAGGTGGATGACAGAGAGAGATAGAGAGAGAGAGAGAGGATGAAGGACGATCATGCAAACAGTCGAGAAGCAGTGCAAGCGTCTCAGAGCAGGGGACCCAGTTCGTCCAACGGATAAGCACTTACCTGCACACAAAATTAGGTCTGTCGCCCAATGGGCAATTTCCAAATTTCTTCCCAGACGACACCCAGGATTTAAAATAATTTCAACAAATCAATTACAGTTTAATCACACATTAAAAAAAATTAAGCCAATTCATTGTGTGAGACAGGGGTCGTTAACTTTTTCGTGTGTGACAATTTATGATTGAAACCAAACTGAGTAAATCCACCAAAGGTATAATAATAACTGAAATAAATTAACTGCTAACCTCGTTTTATCACATTAAAACATTTTTTAAAACACATAAACCATCTTACAAAAATACTCGCAAATGCCAGTTGTTGTAAATTTTTACAAAAAAATATCGTGGTTATTCAAAAAGTCTTCCGAGGCCACCAAGATGCCCTCTGTCAAACGGTTGGCAATCCTGGGTTAAAAACAAAACAAAATCTTAAAATATCCCGACAAGACGTTTTGAAAAGCTACGAACTGGTTTCCTTCATCTAGTGTTCTACACGAAAAGGGCGAATGCAACGTGCGATAAATACTTGTTAAATAATAAGAAATGAGGTCTAAGGAAATTATAGAAGTCTACAGGGATGGAAGACCCAGTATAAGTAGAGAACATGTTTGTGCAATGGGAAATGAACAAAAGAAGTCGCTACGATTTTGTTTTTAGGTTACAATTTTCTACAGGTAGGGTACTACGAAAACACTACAATGTTTTCACCATCCGAGTTTGACTGAGGTACGCCTCCTGCAATACTAACAAGTAACTTCGGTTGCGTCCACAAAGGAAACGCAAATTCTATACTCAAGTGAACAGTGCAGAAATTAGACACAAGGACATTCAATTTACAGAAAGGTTAAATAATCAAAATTTATTAGTGGAATAATAAAAATTAGTTTATCTATGAACGATGTTAAATTTTTATGAACTAGGTTAATTGTCTTATAGACTAGTGTAAAATTATATTAATAAATTTAAAACTCAATTACAATTTTTTTTACAATTTTTCGTAGTGTAAACATCAAAAGCATCACTTCAAACAATACAGTTGATCCATTATATGAAAATATCTGGACACGACCTCCAAAAAACTACACTACGAAAAATTGTGAATAATTGTAATTGAGTTTTAAATTTAATATAATTTTACACCTGATGATGGTTTAATAAAACCGAAACATGTTGTAACTGTTCCAATTGTAAATCGATTATTCGATATGGAACACAGAATGATATTTTAATTATCTTATTTTAAATACATTGTGATTTGACGGAATATCCAAATAATTTAATTTTAATTTATTTTTCTCAAATTTCGTGTTAAAAAGGATCCAGATTGATAGGGCGTTCTTCCGTTCAAGTAAGCAAGTCGATTTTTTTTTTTTTTAGATTTTTATCGATGTAAGTACAGTTCAAGGTTTTATCTTATAAGCTTAGAACTACAACAGAACATCGCAAAGCTGAACGGAAGGCAAATTATAGGTTAGGTTGCACAAGAGTTTACACATTTCTTTCGATTTTAAATCTTTATCTTAACTGGTAGAAGTGACTTCCGTAGCCAATACACGGATAATTGACAGGTCTAACACCCTCATAATATCTACACTCGTAGGATAATTTTCCACTGGTAAATTAATTTTGATTCTCATTTTTAACGTCAAGTCAATTAGACGTTCTGTTCGCAAAAATAATCCGTTTACATTTATAAAATATGTACCATGAAATGTGTTCGTGACTTGAAATACGCAGATAATTGAAAATCTCGTTTCAAGTCCATTTTCATATAGGCATATATAAATAAATAATCCTTCCATCGAAACTGTTTAGCCTTCAATGTTTATTTGATAAAATTTAAGGTTATCAAGGCGACAAATATGAAGATAACTGTCTTCTGAGCTGACCGACGTTTCAGAGGTGCTTACTGATTTTATCATCACCGCCCTGATGATAGAGGTATTACACGTCTCAGAAACGTCGGTTAATTTCTACCAGACTACACGAACGTAACATCTCACGAAAGTCATTAACTTTCATTTCCTTACAAACATTTCATAACACAAAAAGGTAATAGTGTTTTGAGATATTTTTTAAAATCTGTCCACATCTGTAGTTAAACACAACCCACCTGAAAATTCTTTTCTTTTTACCAAGAGAACTATGAAAACATCGAATTAGACAAAGGAATGTTGGAAATTGGTCAGATTCTAATTATCTGGTGTCCTGTGGTAGTTCTGTGACTTATAAACTTCCTGTTAACTACTTATATCGGTCTTTTGTACGTGACAACAAAATATAATGAAAAAATATCGGCAAACCAAAACAGAACGTGTGTAAATAAACAACTTGAGTGCTCGATTTTCTCAACAGACGGACGGACAGATACTTGAACTTAAACAAACATTTTAATTACCCAGTAGCAAAAATTGTATTGAATACATGCCAGATAAAATACATTCCATCGTTCATCATTCCGTAGCTAAATATTATCACAAAATGGCCAACTGTATTGTTAATATTAATGCATATTAATTAATTAATTGATTTTAGGCCGAGTTTAAGATAAAAGTATGTATATATAAAATATGTTGAGATGATTGTAAATGTATATGTTGTACTCTAGTCCATGCATTTAAGGTATCAAGAACGGCAGTGAATCAACTGATTCAGGTATTCACATACAGGTCCCTTCAGAACGACAATTTCCACTTAATGCTAATCGCGTACATACACACTGAAATGAAGGAGACCAACGTCAATAGGAGAATCGATTTAAACGGGACGAGATCTTTGACGACCTCTTTCGGGGTTTTAGAGAAATTTGTGGACGGTCAGCGCGTACTGGATACATCACAAATACAGTATCCTCAAATTGTTGACAGATAAATGTGTCTCTAAAATGAAATATAATCGAAAATGTGTGCGAGAAGAGATTCAATCTTTATAATACCCACAAAACTACTACTGGGATCGAAAAATTTGCATTAGGCTATTTTCTAAACAATATGGCATTTGTTATAACAACCACAATCTACAAATACGTATAAATATTTGTATACAAATATTTAAAAAAAAATCGGTTCATACACTGAGATGAAGAGATGAGACGTGGGGTTCCCCATACTAATTGCATTTGTAAACAATGAAAAATATCTTCTGTGGATTTCATAATAAAACTAACACGTTAAAGGAGATGTAAATTTTGAAATACGCTTGGAATCTTAGGTATTACGTGAGGAAAGTTTGACCCCATAATAAAGAACGGATAAATATCACAAAATATTTACAAAATCGATTAAAACGTTTATTTTAAATGGGGAGAGGAGGGATATCCAAAAAAATATACCGGCTTTCAAAAGAATAACTGAGGAATATAAAGACAAGTCTTATCAAAACATGGCGACAACGCGAAATATTCACTCAACAGAAAGTGCCTCTATGTGACCTCACTACGTGTTTGTTAAGCCAGAGACTTCAGCGCTGTCACAAGCTGGGTAACCAATAATATTCTTCGGAATAAACAAAACTTCATAACGAAGCAAAATCCACTAAAACAGGACGGAAACTTTGCACCTTTAAATCTTTAGGATTTAATTATCTTCAAATATTAATGCGAAGAACAGCGTTTATCATTCTAATATATATTAGACTATCTGCGTGATTAATGACTTGTCAAGAACGAATGTTATTTAATTATTTAAAGCTGTTGCTTTAGAAACAAATTTATATAAAAGATGATTCTAACTCCTACATATAAGCGCATTATAATATCACTTATTTATTTAATCAAACAGTCTGCTAAAAGTATATATTCAAATTTCTTTGAATCTTAGCTAATGGATTGCACGTATCAATAGAAATCTCGGAATTTTAATGATTAGGCCTAAACTTGATCGTCCAATCGAATCGTTCGCCAAGTTTCCTGACGCAATTTGAAGTCTGCCTCAAACGACGTATGGCCGTAGTCCATATATTTCATTCTTGCAGTGAAACTAAACGTTCTCGTATTATTCAAAGTGTTGTTTTAATCTAAGAAATGGATTTCTGAGTCTCTGTTAGAGAGAAAGTAACATACGAGGTGCGATCGGAAAGTTTCAAGACTGTGTCAATAGAGGGCGAACCGGATGTAGTACGAGCTTCTGCCGCTAGGGGGTGCGGCCTACATTCATAGTGAATCAGTGTGCCAGCCGGCATCATTGAATTAGCATTTGTTTCTTAGTTACGGGCGTTTTGGTAGTGCATTACACCGACCCTCCTGCGCTTTCGGAATGGCGTGTGCATCAAATTTTGCCAAAGCCTCGCCAAAACGGCTACGGAAACCTCTGAAATGCTAAAGCAAGCATTTGGGGAGTCCGCAATGGGTCGTGCACAAACTTTTGTGTGGCATTCACGTTT